TATCAACCAAACTCAAACCAAACGGGAAGAACCGCTTCACATAATGTTGTAGAATGAAACCAACAGACAGTATTGTCATCAGTAAAGCAGCAGTAATGTCATCAGTAAAACAGCAGTAATAGTAGCAGTAGAAGCAGTATTAGTAGCAGTAGCAGCAGTATTGTCATCAGTAAAGCAGCAGTAATAGTAGCAGTAGCAGCAGTATTGTCATCAGTAAAACAGCAATGATAGCAGCAGTAATAGTAGTAGCAGCAGTAATAGCACTACCAGCAGCAGATTAATAGTAGCAGCAGGAGTAATAATTGCTGTAGCAGTAATAGCAGCAGTAATAAATGCAGCAGCAGTAATAGTAGTAGCAGCAGTAAAAGAAGTAGCGGTAATAGCAATAGCAGTAATAGTATCAACAGTAATATTAGGAGCAGCAGAAATAGCAGCAGTAATGGCAACAGTAGCAGTAATAGCTGCAGCAGTAATAGTAGCAGTAGTAGTAATAGCAGCAGTAGTAATAGTAGCAGTAGCAGTAATAGCAGTAGTAATAGCTGCAGTAGCAGTAATAGCAGTAGTAATAGCTGCAGTAGCAGTAATAGCAGCAGCAGCAGTAATAGCAGTAGTAATAGCAGCAGTAGCAGTAATAGCAGCAGTAATAGCTGCAGTAGCAGTAATAGCAGTAGTAGCAGTAATAGCAGTAGTAGTAATAGCAGTAGTAGCAGTAATAGCAGTAGTAATAGCTGCAGTAGCAGTAATAGCAGTAGTAGCAGTAATAGCAGCAGTAGCAGTAATAGCAGTAGTAATAGCTGCAGTAGCAGTAATAGCAGCAGTAGCAGTAATAGCAGTAGTAATAGCTGCAGTAGCAGTAATAGCAGTAGTAGCAGTAATAGCAGTAGTAATAGCTGCAGAAGCAGTAATAGCAGCAGTAGCAGTAATAGCAGTAGTAGTAGCTGCAGTAGCAGTAATAGCAGCAGTAGCAGTAATAGCTGCAGTAGCAGTAATAGCTGCAGTAGCAGTAATAGCAGCAGTAGCAGTAATAGCAGCAGTAGCAGTAATAGCAGCAGCAGTAATAGCAGTAGTAATAGCAGCAGTAGCAGTAATAGCAGCAGCAGCAGTAATAGCAGCAGCTGCAGCAGCAGTAAGAGTGCTAACACACCCCTCTCCCTCTTCCTCATGCCGTTCCCCTGCCCACAGCTGCCCAGGAAGCTGCCCAAGAAGAAGAGCCGCTTCAAGCGCTCGGATGGCAGCACCTCCTCCGACACCACCTCCAGCTTCATCAAGAGGCAGGTAAGAGCCGGCCAGCGACGCTGCGGCCCGTGTGCAGGCTGAGGTGTGACAGGAGCCCAGGGCAGACCTGCCGCAGCTGAGAGACCGGTTGCCCGGTTTCAACTGGGGAAACCTGCCGAGGACCTGAGGCCATTGGAGAGCGCGGCTGAGCTATGTACAAATACATGACTTGAAAGGAAAGGAAAGTTTCTGTGTCGTAGCCAAGGCGTGAAAGCAATAAAGAAGAAAGGAGAACATCATTCTTCAGCTGTTGAGAAAGAAACGAAAATGTTGAGAAGTTTTTCAACATTTCTACGTCCCAACAGAGCTCCAGTGGAGCAGAGGCCGATGTGCTTCGCTGGTGTAGCGAGTGATAAATCCTGGCCTGGCACTGGTTTCTCCCGACCGCGCTCTGTGATGTTTCTCCACGTTGGCCAGTTCAGTACACGGCTGTGGTGCTGGGGGGCAGAGTCCACTCCCCCAGCGCCCCGCCGCTCCGGCCTGGCAGCTGGAAGGGCCTTGCAGGGGGTGGTGCTGGGGCCGGGGGGCAGTATTTTGGGGGAGCAGGCTGTAAGCACAGTGTCCGGCAGGAGAACTGGCATTAGGCACCTCCAGCTGCTGGTCCTCTGGCAGGGCCGGTACCTAGGACGCGTTCTCCTGGCGTGGCAAGCAGACTTCAGAGAAAGCCCTGCAGGGATGTGAGAAGGCACAGCGCAGTTCAGGGCAGCTGTGGTACACAGGCCCTCCGGAGAGCCCACAGGGACACACAGGGCTCTCTCACTCCC